TGCAAAACGAAGTGTGAGCATAGAAAGCATGTTGGCATGGCAACAGCAAGTATAAATTAATGCAACAGGTTTTGATTCTGAACTGAGAAAGGAACTATTTGTCCTGAGAGTCAGCTTGTAGCCCATAAAAGTTTTAAACGACAGCAACTCATCTTCACTAAAGACCAGCAACTAGAGAGATGGGTAACTAGGAACCCTTTTACCAACAAAAGAAACTAATTATTCTAACGGTTGCTGTTCTGGCGGAATGTGAAAAAAGGAATTATGTGAATAGTGTATCTATTGCTCACATGATAAGCTACTGCAGGCAAGCTCTTAAGCAGAGGCTTTTTCTGTTATTTTTAATAAAGTATATGATGTCTGTAGGACTATAAGGTGTAATGAGACCGAGTACTTGGCCCAAAAATACACACAGCGTAAATAACCAAGATTAAAATTTAGGGTTTAGAAATTCCTGTCTCCCAAATCTGTGATGAGTCCACTAAATCCTTCTGGAGCTCAGAAATGATGCAGCTGTACATCTGCTACTTGTTGCAACTATTCAACTGAACAGATTAATAGAAGAAATGAGCATGGGAAAGAAAGCTGATTTCCAGATTAGTTTATTAATGTTGGAACTAATGGGCAATAGCTTAAATTGCATGTTTGAAGCCAGGTATTTGGCTTTAAAAGACTTGTTCTTTTTCCTTTCAAGATTAACTACTCTGGAATCCCAAGAAAGAGCGGCGCTGGCTGTGCAAGCCACATCTAAACACCTGACTCCTTAATTCCCTCATCCATCTCTACAGGAAGAAGCAAATTTACGAGAGTAAAAGGAATAAGCCACTTTTCCAGTTTTTTGTTATACAGGAAAAAATAAGAAACACCACAAATTTTAAGAATGACTTTGATCTTGCAGGATTTGCAATGTAACTTCTAGACTAAAGATGCTTGAATAAGTTTGGTAAAGTGGTATAATCCCTGAGAATGGACAGAATGATTTCTAGGCATGAATCACAGAATCACAATGAGTAGGTTTTAGGTTATCCCACTGGAAGGCAGACAGAGAGGAACTGTAGGCGTTGTGCATGCACGCGATGACCCCAGGTTCTGCATATTGTTTTCCCCGGCTGTTTGCAAGTGTCTTCACGGAACAGCCGGGAAAAAGATTGGTACTAATGACCTGCATATGCACTGAAGATAAGAAAATCCGCTGCCATTTAGATGCCTGTGAAGTAAAACTTTTCTGGTCTTCTGACATACCATGGCACGCTCTCACATAGCCAAATTTTCATAACTCAAGATATGTGGGGAAACCAAAGTGCAGCCTCCCTCACTGCACTGGGCAGTGTTGAAGACTTCTTCTTGTTGAAGACTTGCCTGACCCAGTCACATAGCTTTTTGTACAGTGCAAAGAAAATCTTTATAAAACCGACAAGACTAGAGCTGCCTGAATTTCTGGCGCTGTGATGGCTGGCTCTATTTGGAATGCGTGGCCTGATTTTAGCCTATGTTAACAGTCCCTTTGCCTATCAGCACTTCAGTATTTTCTTTCTTTTAAAAACAAAGGTGTTTACAATTTTCCTAGTGCAGCTGAAAGCTTTCAGTAGATATACACTTAACGTGCATATTCCTTGGTTCATGTCATGTTAACTATAATAAGAGCAGGAGAGGGGTTACAAGAACTGTATTTGCATGTCTCTTCATGCAGTGGGGTCAAGTGCATGACTTGACCTGAAATCCTTTGTAGCCCTCCTCTGTATGGTTCTTCCTTTTCTGCTTTTGAACCTTTTGAAATGTTCTCCTGTTAATGACTTTTTTTCCAGAATTATGCATATGTGATTTTTTTTTAAATTGAATAGTGTTACCTGGTGCCTGTCCCATTGCTTTCTGAAATCAATGGAAAGAGTCCCATTGCATCAGTCTTTTGGAAAGCTCTTTGCAATGCTGATATTATTCTGGCTGCTGTGTTTCTTCTTAAGTGTGTGGAATATAACAGGAACCAGTAGTATCTATAACTGGAAAAATTCCTTTAAGTGCATGCACTGCAAATTGCTGCCCACTTACAGTATATCAAGTAGACACTATACTTGGCTTCATCACAGTGGTATAAGGAATGCAGTGGCTTAAAAATGCATGAAGAAAATACTAAAAGAAAAATATCATTTTCTTCCTATTTAAAGTATAGCAAGTAGGACTTCCTTTGGGGAAACTGAGAAGTAATTGTCTTATTGTCATTTCCTCAGGGTGTGACTAGATTGACAACAGGTTATGAGGGTCCATAACAGAATAATTTAAACCTTATCACCATTCATAGTTTCTCTATGTGTTCTATAATATGCCTTCTCATTAGCTAAAAGTGCATTTTCTGGAAATTGCCTTCAGGAGTATGGTTTGATTGGAAAAAGGAGGAAGAAAGCAATTGCCCCATTCCACTGTGAGAGTAGACAGGCTACTTAATAAGAAGCAAGTATGTAGTTTTCCAACTATCAATTGCTTTTCAGTCTTTGTTCGGTAGGGTGGCATCTTCAGGAAATTCGCACAAGCCAAGACTGCACCTTGTCCTTTTACAGGTAGTTAGTAATGCAGTAGTAGAAAGGGTGAAGTGATGGCACTGAATTACTTTTGTACAATTTCTACTGTTGCCGGTTGTTAAACTTTATTAGGCAGGGACTGGAATATTTGCCTTACTAGTTAATCATAACTAATGGAAAGACATTTTCCTGCTACCCTCAGGACTAGTAGTTGTCCTAAGATTATTCTCCTTTTATGCCATTACTTTTCATGCCAGGATATTCAGGACACTAGTCTGTTGGTTCCTGAATAGTAATTTTTGGCTAAATGGACAGGGACATATTATGATTCCTGCTTTGGAATGGAACATTCTACAGTCCTGAAGGCCATGTGTAGCTTTAACATTTCCTAAGGACCTGTGTAGTTTTGATTTGTGGTTTGAGAGCTTTACTTTCTCTCCTTCCATGTTTACTGGTTTTAGAAACCCACATACATCCAATAAAACGGTACTGCAGGTGGACGTGTTTCGTCTCAAACTCCAGGCTCGAGTATGTTTTCTCTTGCTCTGTATTTTTTATCTTTTCCTGCTTCTGCAAATTCAGGAAGAAGAGGTTATATTTTTACAAAAGGTACTTCTGATCTTAAATTAATGAGATTCTTTTGCCGGGGGAGAAATCTAACAGTCAAAACGCTGGAGAAATTTGCAAAGAAAGAACCCCATAAATTCAGAATTTGTTGCAAAGGCAGCATAAAATAACTCCAGAAGTGAAAAGCCTTTAGCAAAGGACTGAGATGCTGAGTATGAAAAGCTACATTATTTTTTTCGCTTGAACCATTCGATATAACTCTGGAATAACTCCAGTGAAAATCAGATTACCTCAGAGGGAAATTTGTCCCTAAACATCCTGTGAAAATTCTACTTTCCAACTTTTTTTTAACATACATGGAAGTGTGAAGGCACTTCCAACAATAAGCTTTGCAAGAAGTCTTCTCTGGCCTTCTGATATTTCAGTAACATTCCTCATCAAATAGAATTGATTTCTGGAAAAACTGATCTTCAAAATGATCTCTATTCTCCTGTGACTCATTATGCACTGTCCTTGTTTATTGCTTTTTTTTTTTCTCCTTAATTCAGGGAAAGTCCACACCTGAACTTAGAGTGACTCTCGTGACTGTTGTTAGGATTACTGATTTTTTAAGTTTTAATTGTTACAGGGGTAGTTGAAATAAGAATTGTTTGTTTTGATATAATGTATATTTGCATTTTACTTCACATAAAATCTAGTAATTCATCAACCTTATTTCCAATGGCAATTCTGCTGGTTTCTTACATGTGAGTGCTTCCTGGGCATCCTCATGGCTTCACTTCAAATGAAAAGTAGTTCATCTGTGTTAGCAATAGGTCTGGTCAGAAGTGTTATGCCTCTTATTTTTTAAATGGATTTTATTTTAACAGATGTGTACTTAAATAGTCTGTATCACCTGACTGGTGCATAAAGCATATATTCCTCCAAAGAGACCATATATCTTCCGTACCTTTTCCATCTCATTTATGCACTTCTACAGATAGTGAAGGCTATTCAAAAGATATCGATATGAAAATGATGGCAACAGATTTTTCTTAAACAAGAACAGGGCATGACTGAAACAAATCAAGAATGCTTCAGAGCCTGTGTGCCAGACCTCCTTGCCAAGAGCAGGTGGTTGAGGAGTCAACAATATAACATAAGTGCTTTGAGTATGATCCGAAAGAGCATAATTGATTCACTACCACATGATAGCCATATACTTTGTGAGGCCTTTATTCCAATGAATGCTGCATTGAGACATAAATCACCATAGAGGGATGTTTCTACTAATGCTGATCAATGAGATACATCATTTATGTGTGAGATGTGCGGTTCCATATTTACTCAAGATATCTTAGATATATTTTTTCTTTAAGAGTGAATATTCGGAGAGAATGTTTAGACCAAAAAAAACCACTATTCAGCAGTCCTTTGATTTTTGCATAACCCTAATTTGCATGGCATTACATGAAGGTATCTGAGAGATCCTGATTGTCAGTTGCATACTGCATGACAAAATCACCAGAATCTCCGCAAACAATCATGCAACAAATGGCCTAAATATTCAGAAGCAATCAGATGACAGGCTGGAGAGAGGGAATAGCTAATAAGTTCTCAAGACCAAATGATGACATAGCAGTCTGACTTCCTGCTGTAACAAGGTAAGGAGTCCACAGACACAGGGAACACGCAAAGTCTCCTGCTTCTACATTACTTAGTTCTTGGCACCGTCTTGAATGATATTCTTACAAGGAAGCTAAGGAAACATAGTCTTCAAGCTACAGAGTAAATGCAAAGCTGAATGAAAAGGGAAATTCAGAGAACAGTTATCAAATTTTATTATTTAATTGAAATGTATTGAAAAGGTTCTACAGGGAGTTATTCTTGATTAAATCTTGTTAAGAATTTTCATGAATGATCAGGATGAGGGAATAATATTATATTAAGTAAATTTGCGTATGGCAGGAGATGGAGGGATTCTGAACATGTGGAAAACAGAATTAGAATCTCAAATGATCTTGACAAATTGGAGAGATCATCTGAAAAAAAAAAAAAAAGATGAAGCTCAATAGAGATAAATGCAAAGTGTTAGACAGAAATAATCCATTGCACAAATGCCGGATAGGGCAACGCGGTAGGCAGTAGTCCTCTGGAAAAGACCTGGAAATGAAAGTGGATCAAATTAAATATGATCTGATGTGTTATTAAAAAGCTAAGTGACCAATTGGTATGCATATTTAAAACAGAATACAGCCTGCAGAAATAATCTTTTTGTATCCTATACTGCTAGGGACTCAGCTTGGAACACTGTTGCTAAGGAAAACTTGACAAAACTGAAGTTATTAAGCCTTTGAAAAGAAGATGGGAGGGGTCATGGCAATAATTAAAATGTAAAAAAACTACTGTAAAGAGGAAGGGAGTAATATGCCCTTTGTCTTCATGGCAGACATAATAAGAAATAATAAGCCAAATTACACTAGGGAGAGTCAGAACAGTTATTAAGAAAATCTTTCTACGCATAAACATAGCGAAGCCTGGGGAGGTGGTGAAGTCACCGCCATTAAGAACAAACATCTGTCATAAGTGACACAAATATTGATTCTGCCTTGAGGACAAACCTGCTGACTTTTTAGAGTGCCTTCCTGCTCTACTTTCTATAATTTTACATAAAGATAGGAATAGATTTTGCAACTACTGCTCATGTTGAATAGCACCTAATTCCATGAGGAGAGTTACTGAGTTTTGTAGACTGAGCCACAGAAGGAATTCTTAGTCCACCAGAACAATATTTACCCATCTATAGGAACTATATTTGGCGAAGCTATTGTTTAATGTTCCTGTCATGTGAATTCTTTTGCTAAACTTACATTGACATATGCCTGGAATTATTCTAAGCTCAATATTTCATGTTAGTATAAATATAATAAAACAAATCCGTAACTTCTGAAGTCAGCCGATGTACTGTGGTAATAAAGGCAAATATTCAGTAATGCTAGTTCTAGCTCAATGGAAAGTTTTGGGAAAGGAGAGGTATCTGACTCATGCCACCTTTATGTTTACTCTTACTGTCTCTGGCTACAGCAGTCTCAGAAGCACATCGCTGTAAGAGACCTGCAGAGCACTGGGTGCTCTGGTACTGTGCACTGTGTCTGTGACCTGATCCTCAACATAGTTCCCTGCAGAATGGGAAAAATGAGTTGCATAAAGTCAGTGCGCTGATTTTTTACCAGCTGGGCTTTGTCTTTAGCTATTCCTTTAGGGCATCTTTTGTGCAATACAAAGGGGATGACCAAGAGGCCAAGGAATGAACTGTATAAATTTCATTCCTATGTCTAACAGAAACACTCTGTTTTCATATAGGCTTGATTTTCTGTAGCATTACTTGAGCATTGCTGCTAGGCTGTCATTTGTTTTGGCCAGTAATGGAATGCTTAAAGTAGTGGTACAGAAATATTTGCCCTATGCAAACAAAAAATATATATTTCTGAATATTTAGGGAAGCTTGTGAAACTCTTCATACCTCTCCGCTCCTTGAAGTCTGTGGTAACTTTTTTGTACTCGCTTCCTTCCAGCTTTATGTACCACATGGTACCAAATTACTGTAGCAGAGATTGGGAAACCTCTGTTTAGCAGGTCTGGTTTATGGTTATGCTAAAAATAGAGGTGAAATGTGTAACTCATTTCAAGAACAATTTCTTCACTGAGATCATAGGATCATTTAAAGCTGTCCAAACACTTGGGGTGAGAGTCCAGATAGTCTGGATTTTTTTTTTTTTCTTGGCAAGAAGTTTGGAAGTGGGACAGCTTTCTCATTGTAGATGATTCATATCTTTATGCCCTGGTTTGAAGTGGTTCACCACACCATGGTCACAACTCCAAAAATGTCAGGTGATCGTCAGACATTACTCCTGTATGTAACTGTAACAGCGATTGATTTTTCCAGCTTTCTAGAATTTTTATAACTTACTAACCTCTCCCCGCAAACTCAAACAATTTAGGTTCAAGAACAAGTATTAGGAAACTGTTTACGAAATAGTTAGCATACCAAATTCCCCAATAGACAAAACTCCTAAAGCCAAAGCTCTGGGGACTCAAGTGTAGAGCTACTGCCCTTCTCACAGACTCCTAAAGCACTTTTCCATGCTACTTTGCAAAGGTTTTATCTTTTGCAGTTTTAAATCTTTTTGTCTAGACAGCAGTAAGTAACTGGCATGCCTTTCTGTCAAGAATGGTGTGGCTAAGTCTTTCAGATAAATATAGCTGGATATTTAATTATAAAAATAAATGGCTAAAGCTCTACTTATTAGTAGCATCTGTCTCGTGCTTGATGCGTACTTCTCAGAAATATTCTAATACCTACTGAGGCTATATTTAAGCAACCTTGTTTCTGCTTTGGTGATCACATGTCATGAGCTGTCTATATTGTTGACTTTGTTGCTAAGCCCCGCTGTGAGTTCTAGTTTCCAGTGTTTCAGGTTACACGTTTAAACCAGGCCTCCCAACTGTTTCACACTATCCTGTATGTCCTCATCTACTAAAGCTGATACTCTGGAGGCCCTCTCTTTCCACACTGGTCCACACTGGCATGAAAAACTGAGTGTAAAGAGGAGTTAGGATTACATATTTTTTCGTTTATGATACTTGTTGAATTTCCACTCCGGAAACATCGCTAAGAGGAAGCCTTAGGAAGCACATATTGGGTGTATGCGGTCAACAGATCAGCTTCTGACAACTTTCCCCATTCCTGAAGAATTTTAACCATTTTCACAAGCTCTTAAGAAACAAAAAGCAGAAAAAAAGAACCTGGGAGACATCAAAGCTGAGAAATCAGAGGACTAGTGAGCAGAGCTCTACTTTAAAAATCCTTTTATAAGCCTTAGATTTGGTGTTTTTCTTTAGGAGAGAGAAGGAAAAATTTGATCTTACCCATGTTTCTTTGGAAGATTATATTTATGCCCATTTGCATTACTGGAAGAGAATTCTCAGCACACCTGTGAGGTCTCAAGTAACTTACAATATAAAGCAGCCAGCAACTTCCATGGACGTTGGGCTAGCCCAAATAAATTGTGCATGATGACATATCAGACAGCATGACAGAACTTCATTGCTGCAAGTAGACACCCCTCATACACTGTGTTATGGAAATTACTGTTCCATGCCAAGAAACTTCATGATACTCCATCAGGCCTCGTTTCTTTAACTGTCTGTGAACCTCTTCCGTAAGTGACTATGGGTATTTTGCGTTCCATTAGTGAAACAACCCTGGACTCTGTATAAATGTTTTAATGCACTGTAAATTTTTTTGGCAACATGTTATTATTCCTTTGATTAGAGCAGCCACTGTTGTTTGTTCTTATTTTTAGAGAAAAGAAATTCAAACATCCTTACTATCAAGAAGGCTAGGCAGGATAGTACTGAAAGGTAGATTGTTTTCAGTCTCTATTGTGGCCATGCCTAGTACTGCCTGTATTCTAGGCATATGCTTATGTGTACCTATTTTGCCCTTTGGTCAAGCAAAAGTTACTGTTTTTCAGGATGTAATAAAAAACTGTTTTTTAAGACTAGTTTTTGAGTGGTGAAGACCAGAGGAGAAAAAAATCCAAGCTGAACAAATCCGTACCCGGAGGTTGACTTCAGCTTAGAAAAGCTACTTGAAACTTCATATACCTACACTAATTCATTGATCTACATGCCAAAGAGGTCTGATTAGTGTTGATTTACAGATTCTACCTTGTTTAGGAGATTATAGTCTAATTCTGCTGCTGCCGTGGCTAGTCAGGGCATGAACTGTAGTTATAATGATAGGCACTCTGTTTCTGGATTTTAGCATGCCAGGCAAGGAAGTCACTTCAAAGTAAAGCTGAAACACGTGGAAGAGAGAGTTGTGGGGGAGAGAACACCAGGAGGAGGAAATTAAATTGACCTTGGCGTATTAGAGAGTTATATACACTGATGAATCAGTGAATGCAAGCAACACTAAAAGGATAGTATGGGGTGAAAATGATACCTGACTTTTATTACTGGAGTTGATGCAAAGTGGTGAGAATAAAAAAACGTAACAAGATCAAAAATGGATCCATTTAAATGGGAAAATGTTTTGTTGCCAATGGTTGCTCATTAATTATTTGTATTATAGTTGTGCTCAGGGTCTGCTCTGAGATGAGAGGAAACCGAGGAGTCACATTGCACTTTTCACTGTTCATTTGTCTAATAAAAGATTCCCTGTCTTTGGCGCTTTACACACGGCTCAGGCAGGGCTGGTGGGGGTGCAAAGAAGTTCTAGCTTGCAATGAGAATAGAGGGCAGGAGCTTAGTTAGCATCAAGGCTTCGAAGATGTCCTTAAAATGATCTGGTAACCAGCAGGTTATGAATGTTTGAAGCTTCGATGTGTATCTGGGTTTCATTCAGATCTTTCTGCTTTTTTTACTTTGTTTTTGTTTTTCCTCTTCTCCTCGAAAATACAGAAAAAGGCCAGCCTGAGATTTCAAGGGGCACCGTAGTTTAGGCAGCTGGTATTTTATTAGCATTTGGCTCTTCCTCATCTGTTACCTCTAGCTCACTCCATGTGCCATCACAGCACTCACAAATGTAGTACATGAAGCTCTTGGTGTAGACTTGGAATATTTCTTTGTAAGAAAGAATTTATTTGCTGCGTTTTGACTTCTTTTTAAATAATTTCACTCCTGGGCCAAACATAATCCTCTTCCCTTTGGTATTTTAAATGATTTCCATAATTATTTCTGGGACTATTTTTTAGTTTGTTCCTTGCTCAATAGTCTGTTGTGTGGCTTAATGATAACATTTGATCAGATTAAGCTTGATAGTACTAATTTCCATCTGAAATAGAAAAGTGTCATTGTGAGGACTGAGTTTCTGACACAATATTTACTATTATAAACTCAAAAGTTGCTCTCTATGCATTTTCTTCAATACACAATTAGGATTCTTTGTTCAGGTTTCACTCAGTAAATTTGCTCATTAGAGCATTTTTTATGTAAGCCCTTTTTAACTGAGACATATGTAGAAAAGTATCAGTAT